CTTACAGTATTTAAAAGAATGCATAATTTTAAAAAAGAAATGCAACTGCCCAGACAAAACCACATAAGTAACATCCTGAAAAAACTTGCCAGGGGCTCCACAAACATCCTAACTCTAACCCCAGGGCTGGGAACAGGGCACAACGTAAAAGGCTTCCAGAACATGTGAAGGGTGGGAGCTGTACATGTCTCCAGGGGCATGCAGAGGGCAGTGTCCTAAGAATGAAATCTCACAATAATGTCCCTGGGTTATTTCAATAGTTATGGACAAGAAAACATTTGGAGGGCTGGTTCAAAGCCCTTGCTTGTCATTCAAAAACCAGGACAGCGTTCTATGGACTAGACAAGTTATTATTCAAGGGTGAGTTACCTGAAGTATGAATCAGAGGACTGGTTTTATCAGGTAGAACCTGGCCAACTTTGGCTGATGAAAAGTTAAGGTAGACCAGACCAGATTAGGAATTGGATAGGAGACCACCAGAAAATCTTTGGGCTGCAATTAGCCTGGGAAGTTGAAAAAACATCTCAGAAGAAGGTAGTGACAAACTTTTCTGCATTGTTCCTGGGAAAATCACATGGATGTTTCAAAGTCATCAAGAATTGAGCTTGATTTGAACAAGTTACTTTTCTAGGCTTTTAAACAGATAAATAAGCACTTCACAAACAAGTGAAAGTGCTTTGTGTCAGCCTTACCTTCAATCATTATATTCAATAGGGAAATGTTATATTTATTTCCAAGGTAACTGTTGTCTATGACTGAGAAACCTTGCTTTCTTTTTGCCAAATCATTTTTTACTCAAAGGGTTTTATATGAATCTTAGTAGATCCTTCATCTCCTGTTTCTCCAGAGTCTTCAGATTTAAGAAGCTGGAATCGGTTCTTATAAACTAGTCAATTTCCTATCCCTTCCAGGTTTTCTTCCTCCACAATAATTCAGTGGTTAACTCTGCCTTTTAGACATGTCAGTCTCAGTGGTTCTTGAATTTAAAAAGAGGAGGCAGAGAGAGGGAAAACTTGACAATGAGCTTTTCCCTGCTTGCCTCAAACCCGTGCCACAAACATGCTCCAAGAGCTTCTTTTTTTTTCCTACCTGTCACTTTGTCTCATTCCCAGTCTGTGAGCAAGACAGGCTTAATCTGTCCTTAGTAAGAGTGGTGTTAGTGTTTCCCCCAACTTCTGATGCTGTCCAAGGGCAGCTTCAAGGTCTTTAACTGTGTTAGGCTTTGTCACCAATTGTAATGGGAAGAAGGAATAACCTTGAGGAACAGGAGGAAGAGCCACAACTAAGACAATGGTCAGGTAGAAGAAATCTGAGACTGGGCCAGAACTGTAACCCAAGTAGGCACCTCAGATAAGACTGTCCCCTAGTTCTCACAAAGATAAAGGGAGGGAGGGGGGATGCAGATTCAGACTTGCAAGATTGTGTTACTATAACCTTATAATAAAAGTAGTATTTGCTGCATGACTGGTTTCCTAGTCTGGTCTACCCATTACCTTGGAGGGATTGCACTGACTCAAAGCAGAGGCAGTAGAGGCAGGCATCAGCAGTGGAGAGAGCAGTTTTCATGCAGTAGAGTTCTTGTTGGCTGAAGGATGGTCAGAGTATTTCAGCTCAGCGGTGGGAGAGGCCACAACCTGCAAAAAAAGAAATGGAGACCGAATTCAAATATGCTTTTCTCCAAATGGTTCCTCTTATTTTTATCTTTGTTCAGTTCCTTTCTTTCTTCCTCTTGTTTTTCTTTTTCATACCTCTTCCATTCCTCCTATGTCATCTCCTCTGACTCATTTTTGATGTGGAGCAGCTCTGATGTGTCTATTCCATTATTTTCTCAGTTGCTCTTTTGTATTGAACTTTGCTTCTGGTCTTCCATGATCTGATAATGGAGTAGGCCCTGGAAAGTCTTATAGCCACTAGACCTCCAAATGATACTTTCAAATTAGATATGGTTAATAAAAACATAGGTGACTCACTAGGTTTAGTGAGATTTAATTTAAAATATATTTAACCATAAATGAAACACTGAAATGGAGGTTTTGTCCTGGCCAGTGCCTTTTTTGAGGGGATGCAAAGCAGATGATATTGCAGCAGGTTGTAAGCCCAGTGAAAATGGTTTCCATCATCTCTGGGGTCTGTGTAGCATCATTTTATATTCACTGCTTTCCCCCCAAGTCAAGTAACATGTAGAAACATAAATCTGGCAAATCTGTTTACCAATCAGAGCTGAGACAGTTGTTATAAAGCAACTCCAGCATTTAACCTGTCCAATTGCCTGAAAAAAGCTGCTTCTCAGTCTCCAATGTAAATGTTGTTAAATACATAAATTATGCAAAATGATATAATGAAATGCAAATCAAACAAGAAAACATCTTCTACTATATATTTCTAAAGTGCTTTGCTCCTAGCCTCTCTTCTATTTTTATTTATGGTAATGGCTTTATAGACTTGGCAGAGAATCTTCTCAGGTAATTTCAGATTCTACTGTCTACAGTTCTACAAAAGTTAGGAAATTGTGGGACTTGCTGCAAATTATGTTTTTTAAAAAAACATGTTTAGACAATATTTATTGTATAAATAAAATATATGTATTGATATGGCTTATAATTCACATTACTTTAAACACAATATTTATAGTTTGGAGAGATGCTTTCTCATAGATTGGTATGTTTTAGATAGTAATATAACTAAAAATATTCTTACATAGACTAGACTGTTGACAGTCTGTAATGAGATTTTCTGCAACGGCCTGATATTTAAGCTGCAGCTGCCAGCGTTAATTATGAAGGCAGCCCAGGATAAGATAATTACAGTCTATTCTAAGTTGCTTATTTCAAAAGGCAGAATAGTTTTTACTATGAATATTTAGTATGCCCTATTTACATTATTTTCCTTTAAACATACGACCTTTCATCTGCAGCCCAGAGGGATGTAGAGAGTGAAATGCACATGAGAAGATCCCATGCTTGTTCTATAACAGCAACCTGTAGCCCTCCAGCTCTGTTGGAGTGTACGTTCAACCAGAATCAGGCACCAACAGCTGAGGAGAGCATATCATTTATTACAGAAATGATACTGCGTGGCACTGCTTTAATGGGAATGCAGCAGTGAACAATACAGAACCTCTTTATTTATATGTTTTTACAGGATACACACCGTATCAGCCAAAGTTAAGCATGGTATGCTATCCTACACACATACTTAACTCCCTCATTTTCTAAATTAATCATTAATTCTCAATTTACTTAACAGAAAATTAGTCCCCAAATACATCAAAGATAGTCACAAAAGTACATCAAAGACATTCCAGTGGAACACTGTCATAGCTTCAGCTTCTCCTTGCTTCGGGCAATGACTTGTCCGTCTTGACCTTTTGAAGCCTATACCTAAAACGTGGACTCCACATTGGTTTTGGATGGCTCTCATCCTAATATCAAAAGCCCTCTGCAACTGAGCCGTTCACATCTCTGGCAGGTCTGGGCTGTTCCTTCCTTATCAGACTGCTGCATTGGGAGGGAGAGTAAGGGAGGTGTCAGTAACAGGAAAGAAGCAAGAAAAAATGTCAAGTAAACAAGAGGTTTCAGAAAGCAAGAGAATGGGCAGCCTGACCCATTTTTGGCTGACCTACTTAACTATTGGCACATATTTCCCGTCTCTATTCCCAGGATAAGAAGGCTCTTGAGAGAAAAAAAGTTTAGCCAACTCTAGAGCTTTCAAGAGGGCGTAAAGAGCCACAATGCAGGATGCGAGCTCCATGCCTCAGACTTCCTCCACCCACGACTGTGTGCATGGATCTCGTCTTCATAGCACACACACACACACACACACACACACAAAGCTACAGCCTGGTGCAAACCATTTAAATGGGAGTAAATCCAGGAAGGCCTCTTTGTGGGTAAACACATTTAGCAATGATGCGCTAAACTCATTTGACATTGGCTAACTGTCCAATGTAGAAATGGCTGTAGTACAATAAAAATAAGAACCTCTCCTTAATGTTTTCCATTAAGCAACTGCACTTTCTTTAACATGAGCCTATTTGCAATCCTAATTGCTGGAACTTGTTTCTGAAAAATCAGTAACTTTATTTTGTCTTTCAGAAGTTTTAAGTGCTTATATACATATGTCAATGATATTTGGCTGAGAGCAAACCCAGATTTTTGGACTGAGAGGTAAATCCATTGTTTTACCATTCCTCTATGGAATGGAATGGATTGGATGAGAGAACTGCAAAACAAATATATGAAGAGGGAATGGATTGAGAGGAAGGGGGAAACAGAAAAGTCAAGGTGGGATGGAGTTTATGAATTCATTAGAGAAGCCTAAAGAATAAAAGGTAATGTTGCTTATCTCCAGAGGGAATAGGCTGATAGGTATGATGAAGAAGATGGTCACGTTCTCTTGTGGGAACACAGTCTGCAGTCTGGGATTTAGTCAGGAGTGCACAGAGCCACATATTTAAAAAAAACCTTCTATAATGCAGACCACCAACATCACAGGAGCTACTGCAGAGTTGGCTCCCTGACGGATACACCTAGCACTCAGATGCGCTTTGGAATTAATCCCAACCCAGCAGCAAGAGCCCATGAGAATCAAGTGGCATAGAAATCCCAGTCAACCAATCAATCAATCAATCAATCAGTCAATCAGGAATAAGGAACTTGTTGTGTTCTTGACTTAAAAAACAACAATGCATCCTGATTGAACTTTCTTTTTTTAAATATTCCTTTGAGTTCAGAAGGTACCAACCCTACACGTTGCCGTATGGAGAACCCCAAAAGAGCTTTTGTTTGTATGGATTATATTTATCAATATTTACCCTAAAATGGATGCGTTTGTAGAATATTTATTTATTCCATCGCATAAAAATAACAATATGGAACCAATTACATGGTAACATATATAAATTTTTCATGGAAAAAACCCTATTTTTTAACAAAAAATAATGAGAAGAGCGGCATTGTTTTCCATTTTTGCAAATACCTTCAATATCTGGCAAATAATTTAGATTTTGCACACCCCTGAGAAGATCTTGGGAGAACCCCCAGGGATCCTTGGACCAACTGTTTTGAGGAGCCGTCAGTAGGTCTTTGGAGATGCCCTGCAGGATCTGAAGCAGCTTTGCCCAGTTTGGATCCAAACCCTGCATTCTCGTAGAAAAGGCAAATGCAAGGACTCAATTAATCTGCAATCTCTGTATCCTCCAGGTCTTCCTTGAGGATCTCTTTCACTCTTTTCATAATATAATGGCCTGATCACTTCAAAACCAATATATATTTTGAATATGTACGTAGAGATGTTCTTATTTTTCTCCTTTTTCTCCTTGTCTCCTTGCAAGAATTTGGCAGAAGAACAATTTTCCTCTGAGGGCTGTTCCCAAGGGACAAACCTAGAGGATTATAAATCTTCTGGAGATCCACGTCCCTCTCTGAAGTATTCTGCAGTTTACGGCAGGCATGTCCACTGAGATCCATCTACACTAAACATTCAGGGTTTAATCTAAGTTCTTCTTCTTATTACAATTTATTCATCTTTTCTGAATTTCTGAACTATTTCTTTGTGAACCTCCACTGAAGCTTTTCTGGCTTGGATTTATGATTCTTTTTGCTAAGTTTGGTAGAGCAGCTTGTTTATCTAATTAATGTTCTAGATTGTCTTTCATATTCCTTTCTGATGGCTCATGGTTTTCATTTCAATTAAACTTAGAATTGCAAAATTATTTAAAAGGGCAGCCACTGAAAAAGACACAGCAAGGATTCTTTTTATCATCTTTCTTTCACTGGGAAACACAAGGAACACTGCTTCGACATAAAACTGATTTTTTAACACAACTGTAGAGCTAAGAATGTTATTGATTTGGATCTTCTGGATGTTATTACTTTGCTGAAACAACCAGATTATATGCTATTCAACTTGTTTGGGCTAGTTTGAATTGAATTCCTTCATTTTATTTTTAAAACTCCCTTCATGTTTTCTTTTAATCACCAGAGGGAGCTCCAACATAAGGAATATTTATTTGGAATTAAATGTTTAGTTGGAATGATAGGAATTGTAATGAATGGTAGTGAAACTCAGTTCATAAGATATGAATTGATTGTTCAATGCCTGTTTAGCTTACCATGCTTAAGGACATTCTTTGGTCCTTTTTTTCTCAAACTGTATTTGGTCATTTATATGCCATGGTATTAAATATTATTCTTTTTTCTGATCTCCTACTCTTAACCTTATAGTTTGCTTTGGTTCAATTTAGCAGTTTAATGAATAGAAATTCTCGGTATAAGATTACTTGTTCCCCAATAAATGAGTAGGAGAAATCACACAGAAAAGAATCCAAACTGGACGAAGCCCAGCCTGACCCCTCTGTGTACTGTAGAGAATTACAGAGGTGACCTTGGAAAAAGAATGGGACGGTCAGCAAAATATGATTTAAGCCTGGGAGAAGAAAAGTATATTAGAAAGAAACTCAAACTGGGTCTGGCAGAGGGAGGGAAGGGAAAATGCTGTCAGGCTTTCAGGATTCTGTTACTCTAGCCTATCTCCATAAAGGAGGCTCCCACTATTTCTTGCGGAATCCGCTTCCTGATTTGGCCTACCCTGGAGGGCTGACACTGCTTCCTTTCCTGAACTGAAAAGAATTTCTGACAGGCAAACTGCACCAAAAGGAAGAGACTCTTTCTCAACTTAATTCAACAGTCACAAAATATGGAAGCAAAATTCACCTCACTCAAAGACTCAGGGTTATTTCTGCAGCAAGATGTGCCAAGGAATTCTGGTTAAATCATTCACTCAATCTCTAGAATTCATATCTGAAAAGTACATCAGATGTACAATTTCATCTTATTTGGAAACCATTTCTGGATTACAATTCTATATATGCCACCCCCCAAGTTTAGGCTATAGAGTTTATATTTTAATCAGGCATATAGGGTACATATTATCAACAGTATTCTCTTACTGTATTGTTTACTGTCTATCTATTTATTTCTTTTAATGATTTTAATTGTGCTAACCAGATATTTTTATAGGGACATCTCTTGTTGAGAAATTGGGTATGAAGTTGGAAGCTAAGTTAGAACTAGTAGAAACAGAGTTATGTAAAAACAACTCATTCAGAGATATGTTTCAGGATTTTGGCAAAGAAGATCTAGAAAGAGAAATGGAAAATTTACTTAAGACTTATCTTGAGCTGGACATAGATAAAAGTCTGGAAATTGAGGAAATCTATAGAATAAATTGTTGGACAGCACAAAGGAGAAAAAGACCACAGGACATGCTTGTTCAATTCACCTACTTCAAGATAAAAGAGGCAATACTGGAACTAAAAAGAAGTGAAAACTATTTAAAAGTTGGAGAAACAATAATTGAGATATTCCAGATGTGCCTCTGGATCTTCTTAGGAAGAGGAGAAACTTGAGGTGTTTGACAACTGTTTTTCAGGATAAAAACATCAGATACAGATGGCCCACTCCATTTCATCTGGAGGCCTTATGGCCAAGCAGCGGGTTGAACCCAGGAATCTGCAGACCTGGTCCAACATTCTCTCATTATCACCAGTGCTTCCATGAACTAAGTCTATGAACTAATCTTATTGACCATGCTCAGAGGAAATGGGCATGTGGTTTTCATTCAGGACTTGATTCACCATTCTGTAAGCCACCTTCACCATCACAGATTCTGCACCAACAGAAGAGCTTTCAGAGGATTAATAAATAATAAGCTGTCAACAGATACTTGGTCAAGAACAAGACCATGTATAGGTGCTTAGTTAGATTGATCCTAAGAAGACAAGGTGATTCTTGAATGTACTGGAGATGGGGACCATTGTATTTCCTGTCTGAGTGAATAAGGATATTTGGGTGAGGCAAGTAGGTGGCAAGGGAAGGCAGCAGGGATGGAGTTTAGGAAAACAGGCTCAGCAAAATCACAGAGATAAAAGAAGCAGGGCTTTTGAAACCATTTTTCTGTCTGAGGCAGAAAGTAAGATGAGGTCTCCCTCCCATTTCCCATAAGGAAATCAGCCAAATTTATAACTGAATCTTCTTTTAACATTAATGATAAGACATCATCTACCATCATATTTAAGGACACTGCACTAGCTTAGTGGGTTCAGCTCAGGCCCTGCCCTCCAAGAGGATTAGGAAACCCCAAGAAAGGTTGCTAGAAATGTATTCACCTCTACCTCTCATGTCCCCACCCCAAGCATTTGTCCTGAGGCAGCCATCTCACTCTGACCAGAGTTGTCCCAGATGCTCAAACTGGCTCATCCTCTCATTCATTACTGAAGCTCCTAACATCATGACTTCACTAATGAAGTGCAGCAGATGGAACAGGGTGGGAACAGGTTTCTTCTGTAGGACTGCACTTGCGCTCTACTTAGGATGCCATGCCAAAATTGGACAAGAGAGATGAACTGCAGTCCAAGGGCTCAAGCAGGGATGGTGTGCAGGGCAAAGATTGATGGAATCTGGAGTAGGAAGTAAGAGGTCAGAAATTAGAGAGGAGGGCTAGGAAGGCCTTTTCAATTATTCTTCAAATGTGCTAAGCTTTGCATTGATTGAAAATAAAAAAGAGTATCATGCAAAAGCTACAATATCCTTCAAATAATATGTCAAGCAATCTAGGATATAGACAGTTCCTACCAGCCCTGGCAAGCACCCTACACCACATACCACCATCAAATGAGTGCATCCTAAGTCAAAGAAATTGGTACTTAATCTTTCCCTTGCTTATCTAACCCCAAATAGTTCCTCTGCAATTGGCCAGATGCATCTACCAAGGTTGCCCTAGGCTTCTTTCAGGAGACAGAAAGCTGCAGAAGAAAATATGTGGTTGAGGGAAGGATTAAGCACCCCCTCTAAATTCCTGATAATCTGATAATCCCTGCAAATACCCTCCTTTCCCACCCATTAGCATTGTGAGTTCAGCCAGTCTCATGGTTGTATCTCCCCTGCTCAAAACTTACCCTGCCGCTAGAGAGGGCATCGTGGCCATGCTGAGAAAAGCTGTCAGTTAGATGGACGCAATTCTATAGGCAACCCTAGGAAATGATATGAGGAATGTGTCTTCTTTGTTTCATGTTCTTTTCTTAATCCTTCTGACAATCTGAGATTGCAAAGGTAATTCCAAGGTTTTTTGTAATTCCCACAGAACTGGCCACTCATAAAGCAAACATTTGGTTAAATATTTGCCTGTCATGAGAGCACAACAAGGAAATTGTGTAGGAGCTAACCAACTGGGAGTGTCTTCCAGTTATCTGCAGACACCACAGTTAGCAACTATAAGTAAAAAAACTATAAGTAAAAAAAAGCCTTCCAATCAGTGACATTGCACAGAAAAATGCAGGAGTATGAAGTTCAAATGAGAAATTCAAGAAAGCGTGCAAGATGCAAAACAATATGACTTGAACAGCACAGGCTGAGTTGATGACAACAATATCTGGTGAGTCATTTACTGAAAAGGCTTTTCATACTAAGGCTAATTTACAGTGCCCTCAGCCTTAGTGGAATCAGGTGTTCTGTTTTGTATATAATTTTTATTAAATAAATTTTTAAAATAATAAAAACGGTATCATTTGTGTTTGCTTATCATTTCTTATCTATCAAATGCTTCTTGTGCTGAGAGCCACAAAAGTGTTTTCGGGTACAACCTGGATTTGTATTTGTCCCATATTCTCAACATGGCACATCTAACATAGTGATTTTTAAAATCCACATTAACCTTGACTTTGTTGTATCACAAATATCTGTGCCACCCAATCTCAGGTCATGTCCTTCTAACTCCAAAAGCCTTCACTTTCTCAGCAGCACCCACTCTTTCATCCGAACCAAACAGCAAGCTGCAAAGTACAATTTCAAATCAGGCAGACCCAATCCTCCTCTTTCCTTTGCATCTTGTATATTTAACTCTTGGTTTTTTCCTTTGCCACACAAATTTGGATACAACCTTCTGCCATTGTTCAAATGGTGCGTCAGTTGTCAAAACAGATATTGTCTAAAACAAAAACATCATTCTAGGTAAAACATTCATTTTTATCACAGAAAGTCTCCCCAACAATGACAACAAATGGCTTGTGAGATACTAGAATTTTGTCTGTGGGAATGTGAAATAAAATCAAGAGAAGAACTGGTGGCAGAGGATATAGTTGTCAGTGGTTGCCTTATTTGCAACTGTTAGAAAGATTTAAAGTAGACAAAAGAATTTATGGTTTTGAACATTCCAAGACTGACTTTGAAATAGTGCACATCATTGTGTACACATGATGAACATGAAATTGCTAAAATGTATAAACTTTTATTGAAATTTGAAATGGAAGAAGAACAAGTGAAAGAATGCATGATAAAGTGAGCTAAATTTTTTGGTTATAATATACAGATGGAACAATGGGAAAATATGTGGTTGAAAGGACTGAAATTTATGTTATAATCTTAAAGATACGTTTTATAACATGATGTACCATTGGCTACGTCACCAGAAAAATTGTCTAG